CATTTTATTGTTTTTTGTTTTATTTATTTTTATAACTTCTTTCCAAGAGATTAAGGGAACCAAACATAAAACCAATTGTTTATACGCTACTTAAATATTACAGTAATCTAGACATGTTTATGCACCTGTCCTAAGTCAGGAGCCTGTTGTTCAGTGGTTGTCGTTTGTTGGTGTGGTTCATAGGTGTCTCTCGTTTTTATGTATATAAGACCGTTGGTTTTCGTGTTTGAATTGTTTTACACTAGTCATTTTGGGGCAATTTATAGCTTGCTGTTCGGTGTGAGCCAAGGCTCCGTGTTGAAGGCCGTACTTTGACCTATAATTGTTAACTTTTTATACGACCGCAAAAAAATTTTGCGGTCGTTTATTGGTATGACGTTGGCGTCGTCCTCGTCGTCCGAAGACACATTGGTTTTCGCACTCTAACTTTAGTTTAAGTGAAAGGATCTCCATGAAATTTTACCATAAGGTTCAATACCACGAAAGGAAGGTTGGGATTGATTTTGTGGGTTATGGTACTAACAGTTAAGGAATTAGGGGCCAAAAAGGGGCCAAAAATAAGCATTTTTGTAACTTCCAGACATAACGTGTGTGTTAGTGTATTGATCTCTCTGACATTGTACCACAAGGTTCCATATCACAAAGGGAATGCTGGGATTGATTTTGGGGGTAATTGCCTCAAAATTTTAGGAATTAGGGGCCAAAAACGGGGCAAAAAACAAGCATTTTTCTAGTTTCATGACAATAACTTGTGTGTAAGTGTATGGATCTTTCTGAAATTGTACTACAAGGTTCCATATCACAAAGGAAAAGCTGGAATTGAGTTTGGGGGTAATTGCCCAAAACGTTTAGGAATAAGGGACCAAAAAGGGGTCAAAAATAAGTATTTTTCTAGTTTCCAGACAATAACTTGTGTTCAAGTGTATGGGTCTCTCTGAAATTGTACTGCAAGGTACCATACCACAAAGAGAATGCTGGGATTGAGTTTGGGGGTAATTGCCCAAAACGTTTAGGAATTTAGGGCCAAAAAACAAGCATTTTTCTTGTTTCCAGACAATAACTTGTGTTCAAGTGTATGGATCTCTCTGAAATTGTACTGCAAGGTACCATACCACAAAGGGAAGGCTGGGATTGAGTTTGGGGGTGATGAATCATAAGGGGGTTCAAAAAATTGGGGGGGGGGGATTTTTTATTCCTTTTTTTCCTTTTTTTTTCTTTAAATTTTTCCATTTTAAATTGGTTATTTCTGATTTATATATAAAAGCAAATAATAATGATATGGTTTGAATAGGTAAATTAAAAAATTTTAAGTTCTTAGACCACATTCATTCTGTGTCAGAAACCTATGCTGTGGTGTCAAATATTTAATCACAATCCAAATTCAGTGCTGTATCAAGCTTGAATGTTGTGTCCATACTTGCCCCAACTGTTCAGGGTTCGACCTCTGCGGTCGTATCAAGCTGCGCCCAGCGGAGCATTTTATTATACATTGTGACTTGGATGGAGAGTTGTCTCATTGACACTCATACCACATCTTTTTATTTATATTTACACCTGTGACATGAAACATTTTCCAAAGAGATTTGAAAATCAGTAGAAGTTTTTCCAGTTCATTTCCACCGAAAAAGCTTTTCAGAATAAATATTCAATCAATATAGTGTAAATTAACAATTTGAAACTAATTCTAACTGATTTCAAAGCTAAAGCTCCTTAGGTAACTGAGAAATTGGATGGTTACTGTTCAATGGTTAAATTTAGATTTTATAAAAAGAAATAAGAAGATGCGGTATGATTGACAATGAGACAACTCTCCACCAGAGACCAAATGACATAGGTTACCATACGGCCTTCAACAATGAGCAAATTCCATACCGTTTAGCAAGCTATAAAAGACCCCGAAATGACAAATGTAAAACACTTCAAACGAGAAAACTAACGAGTCGACATGATTTATGTACAAAACAAGAAACGAAAAACAAATATGCTATACAGCAAAAAACGACAACCACTGAATATTAGGCTCCTGAATGGGGCAGGCACATACAAAATGAGGCAGTGTTAAACACGTTTGTGCGCCCCAACCCTCTCCATAACCCGGAACAGTGGTTTAAGGTTGTACTACAAGTATCATATAAACTTGATATTTTCAAAGATCCATGACAAAGAGGTTAAGGTCAGATAAATCCTGTCAGACAGACATGTACACTTACAATTATTCCATACACCAAATATAGTTGACATATTTATTATGGTACATGTAACTGAAAAACAGACCAAAACACGAAAACTAAATATTGACCAATTCATCACGAAATTGAGGTCAAGGTCTGATACCTACCAGACAGACATGTACACCTTACAATTATTCCATTCACCAGAAATAGCTGACCTATTGCTATTAGTATTTGAAAAACAGACTAAAACATAAAACTCAACATTGTCCATTGAACCATGAAAATGGGGTCAAGGTCAGATGATACCTGCTAGACAGACATGTACACCTTAAAATCATTTCATATACCAAATATAGTTGACCAATCGCTTATAGTACTTGAAAAACATAACAAAACACAAAACTTAACATTGACCAATGAACCATGAAAAATAGATCAAGGTCAGGTGAAACCTGTCAGACTGACATGTACCCACTACAATCATTCCATACACCACATATAGTTGACCTGCTGCTTATATTATCCGAGAAACTGACCTAATCACATAACTTTAACCTTGATCCATGAAATGAGGTCGAGGTCAGGTGAACCCTATCTGACGGACATGGATACGTTGCAAGGAACCTATATACCAAATATATCCTATTACTCATATTAAGTGAGAAATTCACACGACAAAAAACTGTATTTTTTAATCAGTCGCTGAAGCATGAAAATGAGGCAAATAACAATGGAAATATGACACTTTGTAAAATAAGGTATCTGCATACAAGGTATGAAGCATCCATGTCTTCTACCTTCTGAAATATAATGCTCTATAAAAATAGTTTATGAATGTCGTCTTGGTTTATAATATTTTGTTGTAATGCTGCTGTCTCACTGATGCATTTCCGGGTGTCCTTATTGCTGGTTCACTGACGAATATCCGCGTGTCCTTGCTGTCTCACTGAAGCATACCCTCGTTGCCTTTTTGTTGTCTCACTGACGTATACCCGACGGTGTCCTTGCTGTCTCACTGGCGTATACGCGCATGACCTTCTTGCTGTCTCACTGACGTATATATATATACCCGCGTCAGGCGCGGATCCAGCCATTTTTCAAAGGGGGTTGCAACCCCCAGAACACAATGAAACGTTCACATAATTAAAAAAAAATCGAAAAGGGGGGGGGGGGGGGGTCCAACACCAGGAACATCTCCTGGATCAGCCAATGTGCGTGTTCTTCTTGCTGTCTCACTGATGTATACCCGCGTGTCCTAGGCTTCTTACTGTCTCACTGACGTATATATATACCCGCGTCAGGCGCGGATCATGCCATCATTTTCAAAGGGGGTTGCAACCTCCGGAACACCATGAAACGTTCACATAATTAAAAAAAAATTAAAGGGGGGTCCAACCCCAGGAACACCCCTTGGATCAGCCAATGCGCGTGTTCTTCTTGCTGTCTCACTGATGTACATACCCGCGTGTCCTTCTTACTGTCTCACTTACGTATACCCGCGCGTCCTTCTTACTGTCTCACTGACGTATACCCGCGTGTCCTTCTTGCTGTCTCACTGATGTTTTCCCGCGTGTCCTTCTTGTTGTCTCACTGACGTATTTCATTAGAACAACATAAAAATGATTATTATACCTTACATATATTTCAAACAATTCTATTGGGTAAAACGTTATCACGTGACATGGAATAATTCAATTAATTTTCATTCAATTGCAAGGAAGAACGAATAACCCTTAAAAATTACACCAGCGTTGAATAACCCTATTATTCACCGGCGAATAACCTTTTTAGTTTGTTGATTTGTACTCATGAAAATGACGTCACAAACGTAAATAAACAAAATGGCAACGTTCAAGTTACAGGAAGCCCATTGATCAAGAGAAGAGGAAATAAGGCGTGCATCTTGTGCCGATGATATCTCTAATAACGGTCCTTTTCAGGGCCATCAATATTTTACAAAAAGAATCTACCTTTGTTGTACATACGAGAATTCTAAGACACAAATTACATGTATTTTTGAACGTCAACTTGTGTTTGTTACTGACTCAAGTAAGGGTAAGTGCTTTTACAATGATTCAAAATGCCCTTCCACTGTTAGTTCGGTATAATACAACAATTGTGGCCCTTTAGAAGCGATGAATATCCAAAATTGTCAACCCTTAAAAGTTATTTCACTTCGGGCTGCGCCCTCAGTGAAATAACCTTCTCGTGTTGACAATTTTGGATATTCACCTTTTCAACGGGCCATAATTGTATAATGTATCACGATTCGAAGATAAATGATTTGTTTGCGAAAAAGCGGAATATAAACATCAAAATAGCATATTTTTGCAAGGTGAGCGACTCAGTTTAATATAGAAACTCATTTCATGTTTAAATGTTAAGTTTTAAAATAGCCTTTACTCCTATGATCTTCAATCGCTAACCTGGCAAAATATGGTATCATAGTTTGATGAGGGGCGTAAGGGGGTATCTGCACGGAAGAACGCGAAATAAAATTGCCATTTCACGATGAACGAACAATTAAAAATTTCTTTTAGTGCACGTTGATCTTTTTACCGATTTCACGAAACACGGTGAATAGCGAACCTTTTTCACGGCTGCACGTGAAATAAAAATGGCAAAACACGTTGCACGAAAATAACCCTTTACCTCTTTGATGCATATTTTCACAAGTTTGTTTTGCTAGAATTATCTATTTTCTATTGTGTTAAAAAAAATGAACACTGTGATGTTTCTGCGGTGACTACCTCCATTTTTAGCCGCAAAATTTTGGAGGCGTTATCGGCATACGAATATTTTCATTCAAAAAAGGGCGCGAAAAAATCCTCGCCCACATCCCAGGTGAAAACCATATAAGGTAGAATCCGGAAGTCGGCACTTGCAGAAAGTTTTTTCCACTGTTAACTCTAGGTAAGTGATGCTTGTTTGAATTAATTAATGATAACAGTTGCTTGTTATTTATGTATGAAACAAAGTACTTACTTAAAGAATCTGAAATAATAGTCATCAGATGACAGATAGTTTAATACTTATCAGTATAGAGTATGTACAAGAAGAGGAAAACAGTTTTTGACAATGACACGCCCAATATATTGCCCGGTTGAATGCATCTGGTATTCAATGAATGCAGGAACAATGTAAATATTTTTGTTAATGAAAAATCAAAATTGAAAATAGCCTACGTATCACACAAAAAAAACAACAAATAACTTGTACTTGTAAATCCATGTAATTATATGGAATGTTTAGTGATTTTTTTTAAAAATCTTTAGGGGTATATTACCTACTTGCCAAATTTTTCTACATATATCACAGTTGGTACAAGTTTTAGGGACAATAACTACTAAGTATCATATTACCAGAGACATATATGAGGGGGTGGACATGGGGTACCCTTCTCCCGCCCCCTATCTCCAACCTTTTTTTCTCTCCCACCTATTTTTTGTCTTACTTGATGGTGTAAAAAAAATCTTTGATCTGAAGGTAGTGCACCTTTAAGGGGCTCCAGTCAGGTACCCCATTAGGTCCCAAGGTCACTATTTACAATATTTAAGTACAACAAGGTACATGCAAGTCTTTTAGGTAAGGGTTCGGAACATTTTTAAAGGTCACATGTGGTTTTTGAGAGAAGTCAGGTCAGCAAAGGTCGCCTGCCAAACCCCCCAACTGCCAAGGTCCCAGGTCGGATTTGACCATGTTGGAGCCACCTTTAACATACCAGTTCTCAGTTCACACTCACAGTGTAGAGTCAAAAGCCCATGAAGTCCATGACCCTTAACATGTATGAACTATTTGCCACTGGACATTAAATGAACAACAATAAATCGATCCTTATAGAACCACGGTACAACAATGCACCAATGTTCTCTCTGAAAATATTTTAACAATACAGTCAACCTGTATATAAAAGGCCACCCTTGGGACCTAAGAAAATTGACCTACAAATGTATAACAGTGGTAACCTTTAAATAGAGGTTCAAAATGCATATTACCTAAGAAAGATGAACCTTACAGCCAGTCGCACGGTAGAATATATTATAAATGTGGTACTAAACTATATAATTAAATTTTGTTTTTAAAATAGCAATAATAACATGAATAATTTTTATTGATGTTGATTTTGGAACTCTAAAAAAAACATCAATTGTTTATTTTGACAAGTTACAATGAGCTCTAAATTTTTGTTTAACTAATTCATTTCACCATCATTTTTATGACGACCTACGAAAGTAGTAGGGGGCATTAAGTTTTCTGGTCTGTGGGTCCGTTTGTCCTTCTTTCCCACTTCAGGTTAAAGTTTTTGGTCAAGGTAGTTTTTGATGAAGTTGAAGTCCAATCAACTTGAAACTTAGTACACATGTTCCCTATGATATGATCTTTCTAATTTTAATGCCAAATTAGAGTTTTTACCCCAATTTCACAGTCCACTGAACATAGAAAATGATAATGCGAGTGGGGCATCCGTGTACTACATGGTACTATGGACACATTCTTGTTTTTGTTGAATTGCCTGCTAGGCTCTCTGAATTTGTGTTTTCTTTTAATATACATTTTTATACGACCGCAAAAATTGAAAATTTTTTGGTCGTATATTGGTATGACGTTGGCGTCGTCGTCGTCGTCGTCGTCGTCGTTGTCTGGCGTCGTCCGGCGTCGTCCGAAGACACATTGGTTTTCGCACTCTAACTTTAGTTTAAGTGAATGGATCTCCATGAAATTTTACCATAAGGTTCAATACCACGAAAGGAAGGTGGGGATTGATTTTGGGGGTTATGGTACCAACAGTTAAGGAATTAGGGGCCAAAAAGGGGCCAAAAATAAGCATTTTTGTAACTTCCAGACAATAACTTGTGTGTAAGTGTATGGATCTCTCTGGCATTGTACCACAAGGTTCCATATCACAAAGGGAAGGCTGTAATTGATTTTGGGGGTAATTGCCTCAAAATTTTAGGAATTAGGGGCCAAAAAAGGGGCAAAAAACAAGCATTTTTCTAGTTTCATGACAATAACTTGTGTGTAAGTGTTTGGATATTTCTGAAATTGTACTACAAGGTTCCATATCACAAAGGGAAAGCTGGAATTGAGTTTGGGGGTAATTGCCCGAAACGTTTAGGAATTGGGGGCCAAAAAGGGGCCAAAAATAAGCATTTTTCTAGTTTCCAGACAATAACTTGTGTTCAAGTGTATGGATCTCTCTGAAATTGTACTGCAAGGTACCATACCACAAAGGGAAGGCTGGGATTGAGTTTGGGGGTGATGAATCATAAGGGGGTTCAAAAAATTTGGGGGGGGGATTTATTTTTTTTTCTTTTTTTCCTTTTTTTTTTCTTTTAAAATTTTCCATTTTAAGTTGGTTATTTCTGATTAATATTTAAAAGCAAATAATAATGATATGGTAGGAGATACACACCAAACAGGATGTGTAAATTATTATATAATAAGTATTGTGCAATAGCAAGAAATTTTCAATTGCACAGTATTGCACAATTGCAAGAAATCTTCAATTGCACAGTATTGCGCAATAGCAAGAAATCTTCAATTGCACAGTATTGCGCAATAGCAAGAAATATCCAATAGCACAATATTGCGCAATAGCAAGAAATTGTCAATTGTACAGTATTGCACAATAGCAAGAAATATTCAATTGCACAGTATTGTGCAAAAGAAGATACTTCGTATAAATTGCTTATTTCTTGATCAATTTCAATGGGGTTTTATTCTTGAATTCTTGGGGTTCTTTAATATGCTGAATCTAACCGTGTATTAAGTTTTTGGATTTTGGGCCCCGTTTTTAAATTGGTCCACATTGAGGTCCAAAGGGTCCAAAATTTAACTTTGTTTGATTTCATCAAAAATTGAATTATTGGGGTTCTTTGATATGCCGAATCTAACCGTGTATTTAGATTCTTAATTTTTGGTTCCGTTTTCAAATTGGTCTACATTAAGGTCAAAAGGGTCCAAAATTAAACTTAGTTTGATTTTAACAAAAATTGAATTTTTAGGGTACTTTGATATGCTGAATCTAAACATGTATTTAGATTTTTGATTATGGGCCCAGTTTTCAAGTTGGTCAAAATCGGGGTCCAAAATTAAACTTTGTTTGATTTCAACAAAAATTGAATATATGGGGTTCTTTGATATGCTGAATCTAACCATGTATTTTGATTTTGGACATTGGACCATAATAGGTAAATTAAAAAAATTGAAGTTCTTAGACCACATTCTTTCTGTGTCAAAAACCTATGCTGTGTCAAATATTTAATCACAATTCAAATTCAGAGCTGTATCAAGCTTGAATGTTGTGTCCATACTTGCCCCAACTGTTCAGGGTTCGACCTCTGCGGTCGTATCAAGCTGCGCCCAGCGAAGCATTTTATTATATACATGTTCTTATCCCGAAAAAGGTTATGCAACACAGTGTGGATGTGGAATTTCAGTTTTAATAATACTTATATAAAACTTCAATGTCATTATGTGTCAAAAATGATAGAATGGTGCTGCAACCTTAGTAACCCTAGCATACAAACTAGAAGCAAGGTTATAACTCATCTTGTAATGCAATCAATTGTTTTCTTTGTATACATTTGTAATGTACAGATTGGTAGTCTACATGCTTAATTAACAGTACAGACAATTTTCATTTCGGTTCCACACTTGTTATCATCATTCTCCTTGTAGTTAATAAGTACCCTGAGTTTAGATTATCATAAACATATTTTGGAATGCCTGTTTTCACTGAAGAATGTAGAGTTAAAACATGTGATCTATAGATAAAATTAAAATATGTAAAAAATTACATATTTCTACGAATGTATTAACCATACGAGTTAAAAGCCTATTGGAACACTCAGCAGAGTTATTGAATTGGTCCAGCCCTTAAACAACTGCCGAGATGAAGTAATTGGGGTCAATCCAAAGTTGGCAGTAAGATGCCCTTCAGTTATCATGCTATGTGTCCATTGGCTCTTCTATGTCATAAGATCAGTCAAGATTGCCTCAACTGATTTCCATAATTTTTATACACAGTGCTGATACATGTACCTATACACAGGATCAAGTTGTGAATTTCTTTGCTTGAATTATTTGTTTCTGTGCCTCACAGCAGAGCCCTTGCTGACGTAGAGTGGTATTGATAAGATATGTTGTCTCAGTAAGTGTGATTAGGCAGCTGTTTTTTCTATTCAATACAGCATGTACATGTACAGTACATGCATGTGTAAACACACTTGTAATCAAAGCAATATGTAAATTATTTATTTTGGATGTGACAGTGTATTGCATGATTACTATTTAAAGTAAGGTAATTTTGACATCTTCATGTTATTCATTCATTCATTATAAAAAAAACTTACAAAATCTGCATTCTTAAAGAAATATATATAAACCCCAAAATTAAATAGAGGGGTGGGAACTCTGGGTACATATTACAAATGTATACAGATTCAACCACACCACCCTACCAATAATATGATATTTATACTTTCCAGTTGTTATGTATTTTTATGCCCCATCTACGATCGTAGTAGGGGCATTATGTTTTCTGGTCTGTGATCGTCCGTCCGTCTGTCTGTCCCGCTTCAGGTTAAAGTTTTTGGTCAAGGTAGTTTTTATACGCCCGTTTAAGGAACGTATTATGTTATACCTCTGTCCATCCGTCCGTCGTCAACATGTCGGACATTAACTCAAAAACGCTTCAACCAATTTGCATAAAACTTTGGTGAATTGTTCATATCTATTGATGTGAGCTCCCTTTCGTTTTTTATGCGACGGGCGTATCATGGCGCAGCTGTTTATTAATGAAGTTGAAGTCCAATCAACTTGAAACTTAGTACACATGTTCCCTATGATATGATCTTTCTGATTTTAATGCCAAATTAGAGTTTTGACCCCAATTTCACGGTCCACTGAACATAGAAAATGATAGTGTGAGTGGGGCATCCGTGTTCTATGGACACATTCTTGTTAACTTTAAAATGTGAAGTTTACTTAGAAATTTAAAATTAGATAAATTTAACTTTTCTCTTATGCATGTTATGATATGATGTAAAGTCTTGAGTGCATAATATTTTGAATGGATGGTGGGAATTAAGTTACAGAACACAAATTTGATAAATGTTTTTTTTATCAAAACTTATCAAACTACTGACGACCAGTTTAAATACATACAGAAGAATGCACATCTGATACTTGTTTATCAACTTGAATGTGGCTGGAGTTCAAGGCTTTGTTACCTGAGTGCAAAATAATCAATTCACTCTCAGGTATAAAAAATGTATACATGTACATACTGGCATGGTAGATATAGTATGGTATTAAAGAATGTAATCAAAGCTTAAAAATAACAATCCATTCAAATGAGTACTGGTACATGTACATGTATATTAATCATATTGATACATGTACTAAGACACTTTGGGTTGTATTAATTTATTTGTATGTAGAACTACAAACTACATTCAATGTAGAAAATACATGTATATATAATGATAGTAATATATTTGACGAATAGTATATGAAATTAAACATCCAGGTTACCAATTATAAACATGATTAAGAATTAAAGAAAAATAAAATCCAACAATCTTTATAGAAGTTGGTTCACTTAACCCATAATTTTTGCCCTTAAAGTTTGATTTGATTTTAAATGTGATCATGTTGTGAAACATGTGTTCAAATTAAATATCCAATTGTTTCAGTTAAAAAAGATTTTTACCAATTCAATTGCTGCATTAGTCATGTTAGTGGTGTATTTGTGATGTCATAAATTAAGGTGAATTTTGTTAAAACCTGATTTTTTTGCACAATTTGACAAAATTTATGACAGTTGTTTGAAAAATTAACAGTGGTGCCACCGCTCGCCCACAAATGTTTTTGTTGAATTATTCATTTTAAACCATATTCTTCACTTTTTAACCAAAATTTCAATAGTCGAGGGGTGGTGCAAATTATTAAATCATGAAAAAAGGTTGAAAAAGGTGACAAATTTCTAGAAAAATGGACTAAAATGAAACCTTATCTTATTTCAGGCCAATATATGTATAAATACCAAGGTTAACAATTTTTCTTATAATACTTTCAAATATAATACATTTAGCTTCACATACACATCAGATTTACTCAAACAATCAAAGTTTAAAAAATACATCTTCACAGGGCCTTTTTTGGGGGTTACTGGCTCTCCATCTACTCCTTTCTGTAGATCATATTGGTGGTAATTCCTAAATTTTATCATATACATTCATATTAAAATATATCCCCATTTAAAGGGGATCAATATATCATTTTTAGCTGGGGGATTTTCAAATGGAAAGGAAGAACATTTTAACTGTTTCCTTATTATATGGTACAGGTAATTATAATTTAGTAATGTACAAGTAAATTTCATCCCTCATGTTATTTACAATAAGGGTGTATGCTTTTTTACAAATCCAACAAAATTTTGTTTCTTTCTTCCCTGATTTTTGATTCATCATCACAAAATCTATAAAGCTTTCATACATTATTTGCCTGGAATGTGAAATTATGAATCATCTGATATGTGTATAAACCTGGTTACAATCTTGTCTGTGTCTAAGTCAGCAGTTGATGTGTCAGTAAGTAAGTAAGTATGCATAGATAGATTAATGAATAGTCATAAAACATGCTTTAATTTTAGAACTTAGGCTATTTTAAATGAAGTTTTAATGATTTGGTAAACATTAATTTTCCTTTTTTTCCTGACAAAGTTAAAAAGTTAAAAATATTATTGATATTATTTTATAAAACGGGACATCTTGAATTTGGTCACAATTTAAAAAAAAAACTTTAATACACTATGTACTGGAAAAAAATAGGTATGTGTCAAACCAATAAAAGAAATTAAGTGCTAATGTTTTTCACAGAAATTTCATTCCTCAGACATGTCAGTCCACTGAGGACAGACATAATTTTTCTAACTATGCAAACTAACAAAAGTTGTCAAATTTAAAAAGTTTTACCCAGTAATCAAAAATGATAAATGTCAGACTATGCATTGAATGCATTAAATATATTTCCTACAATTTGTGGAATATGATATTCTTAAATATTTGTCCAGTAATATTTATTTGGCTAGGCTGCACCTTGCATTCATTTTGTCCAAAAAAACACCTTTTCTATTTTGTTGTATTAAAATAACTTCCTGTTCATTGATAAGTTGGTAGTCACACTTAATGTTAACTGTAAAGTAGTATTTTCCGGGTTGTACAACTTTCAGTGACATGAATCACTACTACTATAGTTAAAGTTATACACAGAAGTTTTAGGTAGGAGTAGATTAAAAGACTATTATCTCATAGTCATAGTAGTATATGTGTGTAATATACCAGGAACAGATGTACATTTTGTAGTTAATCATTCACACTTGTCATATGTTGTAGTTATATATATGTAATGAAAATTCAGTACAACTACATTTTTAAAATTTTGTCAATGAGTATATACATGACATACATATAAGTCATATACCTTTAGGGTGTTTGATAAGTGAATATTTCAATATACATTTTTATACCCCACGCAACGAGTTGCAGAGGGTATAATGTTTTTGACCCGTCTGTCCGTCCGTCTGTCCGTCCGTCTGTCTGTCTGTCCATCCGTCAGTCCGTCAGTCCTGTTTCTTGTCATCGCAACTCCTCTCAAACCACACAACAGAATTTCACGAAACCTTTTTAGATAATAAGGACATACTATGTAGTTGTGCATATCGACAGGTAATTACGATTTAATTTTTTTTTCTAGGAGTTACGCCCCTTTGAACTTATTTGCTTCAATAAACCTCTGCAACAGTTTGTCATCGCAACTCCTCTGAAACCACACAACAAAATATCATGAAACTTTGTAGATAATAAGGACATACAACGTAGATGTGCATATCGACAGGAAATTACGATTCAATTTTTTTTCCAGGAGTTACGCCCCTTTGAACTTATTTGCCCAATATACTACTGCAACCTTTTGTCATCGCAACTCCTCTCAAACCACACAATAGAATTTCATGAAACCTTTTCAGATAATAAGGACATACTATGTAGATGTGCATATCGACAGGAAATTACGATTCAATTTTTTTTCTAGGAATTACGCCCCTTTGAACTTATTTGCTTCAATAAACCTCTGCAACAGTTTGTCATCGCAACTCCTCTGAAACCACACAACAGAATTTCATGAAACTTTGTAGATAATAAGGACATACTACGTAGATGTGCATATCGACAGGAAATTATGATTCAATTTTTTTTTCTAGGAGTTACGCCCCTTTGAACTTATTTACTTTAATGTACTACTGCAACAGTTTGTCATCTCAACTCCTCTGAAACCACACAACAAAATTTCATGAAACTTTGTAGATAATTATAAGGACATACTACGTAGATGTGCATATCGACAGGAAATTACGATTCAATTTTTTTTCCAGGAGTTACGCCCCATTGAACTTATTTGCCCAATATACTACTGCAACCTTTTGTCATCGCAACTCCTCTCAAACCACACAATAGAATTTCATGAAAATAATAAGATAATAAGGACATACTATGTAGATGTGCATATCGACAGGAAATTATGATTCAATTTTTTTTCTTATACAATTTTTTTTTCTTACAGTTATTTTATTTCTCCAGTGACAATGTGGGGACGTGGGGTATGTGAGCGTGCTCACTAAGGTTCTTTAATTTTGTACAGTGTAGATCTGAAACCGTCCCCTCTAGCATGTGTAGGCAGACAAATGTTTTTTAAATATTTTTATCTCCAGAAGATCTTGGAAAGCAATTGCAATAATTAATTAACACACCAAAAATTTTACCAGTTTAAACAGTATTGAAATTTCTTAACTGATATTAATTTCCTATTTTACAGGTCTCCTCTGTTGATTCATATCAAGTAAAAATAAAAGATGACAGGTAAGAAAGTTATCCAATAGACAAGGTAGATACAGCCCATATTTTGCTTTCTAATGTAATGATTTTTCAGAGTAATGATTTAAAATATGTCAATCAAACAGCAATGTAATGTCTACACAAAAATAAAGCCTGAAAAGATAATTCAGGTAGCAAATGATCACTTGAGAACACACTGGTCAAGTATTCTTAGTAGTTCATCTACAACAATCACTAGCCAGCCTGTCAACACTGCATAGTGAGTTCTAATGCTTTCTAACTTTCTAGTGCTTTCGATTCCTATCTTAATGGACTAGGAATTCCAATGTTCTTGCTGAAGATAGATTGTTCTCTCTGGGTACTCCACAAAAACAAACTGGCCACAGTGATATAGACAAGCATGTTGACAGAAGCCTTAATTCACAAAGAAAGGGCAACAAAAAACAGCCCCCTCACATCCTCCCACCCATCAAAAATGATGTGATAAGACGATACCTGCCTTATACTAGACTGACACACCATATAAATAGACTTCTATTGTGCTATCTCACTAAATCAGAGCCTACCAATCTTGACTCATGATAGTAAATGTTTTTTGTAGAAGCAGCAAATACCAATATTATAGTCTTTTTTACCTAGGTTGGGGTAGAATCCTGTACCTCCTACATTTGAGGCTACCACAAGACCACTGAGGATGAAATAATGTCCTCTTTTAACAATCAATGTTAAATGGAAAATAACCTTCAACAATATGTACTGTGGGCTATTGCTCACTTTTTATACCCCTTTGTATATCTTGGTAGATATCACTTGCAGTTTCTGAGAAGATGTGTAAAAATTGTTTTATAGGTAGCCCCTAAGGGCAATGTGAGCTTTTGCCATCGCTTTGCCTCTGTCTTTTGTCACTATGTTGTCCGTTGTCCATAAACTTTTCTTTAAAAATCATCTCTGGAATTGCTCAATGGATTGATACCAAAGTTTGTCTGCTTTATCTATAGGATGTCAACTACAAAGTTTGTGATTTTCCTCCAGATTAACAAACCTGCCATGTGTCAAACTACAGTTTTGGCTAATATTTCTAAAACTATAGCAATAAGAGAAGAACTTTTAGCAGTTATTGGCTGTTATCTTTAAAAAGTATAGGTGCTAGGTTTAAAATCTAACTTGCAAAAAGGATCAAGACAAAACATATCTACCCCTGAAACTAAAAAAAATCTGTCAACCTGTTTTGGAGTTATTAGTTCCCTACCGACGAAGTCAAAGGGGACTTTAGGTTTGCACAATGTCCGTCTGTCTGTCTGTCCATCTGTCAGTCCGGCAAATCAGTTTTCCACACGATATTTGGGGTATTGTTTAATCATGACAAGTTACAGATCAAGTTCGAATTTTGTTCCGGTCTGATGATTTTGTGCAGAGTTATGGTCCTTGGACTTAGAAAATTCACTCAAATAATCAGTTTTCTGCACTTTTTTCGTCATGCTTGAAGATATTGATTTGATAATTGGTATATAGTTTTATCATGACAAGTTACAGATCAATTTCGAATTTTGTTCCGGTCTGATGATTTTGTGCAGAGTTATGGTCCTTGGACTTAGAAAATTCACTCAAATAATCATTTTTCCGCACTTTTTCAGTGATCTGGAAGGATTTTTTCTCTATGGGCCCAGGCCCCCCCAAAAATAAATTCAATGGGCCATTTTTAGAATTAATGGGCCATGTTGTCAAATGAGTGGGCCATTCGTTTACAATAAAAACAAAAAATAAAAAAGTGTATATTTCACTGTACTTACAAGTATGATTCTAACTAATATCATGGATATTGTTCCTGTGATTTTGTAATTTCAATTTCAATGAATATACAATTACTTCTTCCAAACCGGGCAATATTTACGATAACCTTTATTTACAATGTTAAAACTGGTACTGTTCCCTTGTTCATGTTGTTCATGTTGATGGTTTTTTTTTAAATTAAATTTGGGTCTTCGTCGATACCATACTTATTCCAGACGTTCCGTATTAGAGGAAGTTTCTGGCATTTCCTCTGCACTTGTATTATTATTACTTCATCGCGATGACAAGAATAACAGTTAATTGATAAGACACAACAACAATTCGCTGAAGGCATGTTTACAAAATGTCAAAACGAGCCAAAGACCAAAAAAAATGACAAGGACAGTTAAGCCCCTTTTATGGAGACAAATACTATGCTATTCATAAAAAGGCTTTTGGGTTTTTCAATCGAAATAATAGCAAGCTTACTTAAAAGATTATAATTAGAGAAGAATTCTCGCCTGTACTAGCCAATTTTCACAAATTTAAAGTCGTTTATAAAAAAATATATCATGAATGATGGTTAATTACGTTTTTTGGGTAATCAGTCATACCGCATGTTGCTATTATTACCATAGGAAAACACCCGAGACGTCCCAAAAATATATAGGTGTTCTTATCATTGGAGTAAACACTACACAGTTGTGTACTCACAAATGGCGGCACGAAATACGATCGGAAATCCATTTGACGATATCTCAACGTTTCAAAACGAAGTTAAAAATATCATGCGCCACGCGGGCGCTTACATTTGTCAATCTATGCGCCATTTCTGGTCGATAAGCACAATTGGCGCAAGGCGCACGTCCTTCCCGATCACTGCTTTTTTTTGTCATGCTTGAAGATATTGATTTGATAATTGGTATATAGTTTACACCATGACAAGTTATAGATCAGGATAGCATTTTGTTCCAGTACAATGAATTTTTAACCGGTAGGGGACTATGTATTGCCATGCAATACTCTCAGAATACTTGTTCCCCCTGAAATATCAATTTTTTGCTGTTTTTGGCTGTTATCAGAAATTTATAGGAGCTACATTAAAAGAGTAAACTTTAAAAATTATCAGCCTGACAAGATCAATGTACACTGAAAGTTTAAGGACCCTTTTATTGAATTATTGCCCCATAAATGTTGATTTTTACTATTTGTTGCAGTTTTGGCTGTTACATGTATGTTAAAAATTATAGGAGCTACATGTAGGTTTAAACATGTATATTGCAAAAACGATCACTGTTACAAGAGTAACTATTGTATGTATTTTAAGGTCCTAATTAGCAAACTGTTGATTTTTTCACAAGCTAAGCAATACAGGCACAGGTGTTTCACTTGTTGTGTGTGTTTAACTTCTGAACATTTTTAGTTGGCCTTTCCAGTAAATATTTAAATAGAATTTTTTTATTGTTTTTTTTTAACTTTAGAAAATTCACGCATACAACCAATCAGACAATAATTTTTATTTGACAAAAGGCCTAAAAGTACTTATAATTATGCTTAAGAGCTAGTAGATACATTTGTCTTTTAAAATACAACTGTCATGTAAGCCAAGTAGATAAATTTATCGGTTTATAAGAGCTAAATTGACAGCAGGTCATTCATACAATAACGTCCATTTTCACGATTGAAAAAATTGGGTGGCATAATAGGGAGGTAAGTGGAATCCTGATTGGATAATAATAATGTACTTTATGTTATATTTATTCTATGTTACAATAAATCTTTTACAGGATTAGTCAAAGCTAAGAAGTATGATTGGAAAGATTCCAACATGGCACTGTTTGGTACTGATGTTGAAAGACAAGTTAAAAGTATGTAGGATATTGAACAAAACATGATCAGTACACTTTGGTTAAAAAGTGATTAACATGATTAAAAATTATCTATAGTAATTTATTTGCAATTTTCACACTTTATTAAAACTTAAAAGCCCCCATCAAATTAGGAAATATTTTTTTTCTCTGCAAAATTCAATGTGTGGTATTTTTCACTTTTAAAACTTTACACATTTTATAAAATTTAAATAAGACCTAGTTATGTTACCAGGATATGAATTTTTTGTGTTTGCTTTAAATTCTATTACAATTTCAAAAAGGGTTGACCCCTAGAAGACAGCCAGTTTCTAGGAGGGAGCAGTGATTCTATCATGCAGGGCACCCCATAGCCCTTTTAAATTCATTTTCTTATTATAATCAGAACATTTATACATGTGTATTTAATCTTACAAAGGCAATTGCATTTTTAACAATTGTGACTTTTATCCTTTTGTACTGTAAATTCAGAAATTATTGTGTTCATTTATTTATTGCAATTAATTTTTGAATTTTCTCATAGTAATAGGTTGTTAAGCCTAATCTTTTGTTTTGGAAAACATATATATATATATATATATATATGGTTTTAATTCATTGATCAAATGACTTACTATTTTATTTCTGTATATGAATTAAAAAAAAGATGACACATTGCTTAACATGTGTCAGATGTAATGGGGATCTAAAGACGAATATAACTCCAATGATTAATAATTTTCATGCTAACTTTGGGGATCTAGAAACTTAGTTGAACAGTTGTCATGTGTTATTGATAGTTAAATGTGAGGCCTGGTTTGGTTAATTTAGACATATTTTAAGGCACAAATGTTTATTCATCATAATTGTTCACTGGAAACTTTTGTAAGAGTGTTTTCCCATTTCAAACAACTTCCCAGCATATTTTGATCACACAGAAACATATGAGACACTTACCAATACATTTGCAATGAATAATCAAAGTGTTTAATATAAATGTTACCTGGCATCTTTGATTACACTGTCCCCTAACAACAACCCTTTAATTGATTTACTTATTGATCATACCTAGAGGAGGGACAACAGTCTAGGTGCTGTGTGTAAAACTTTTCATGTCACATGGTATGATTTCAGCTTCCGTTTGGCAATTTTAAATATTGCAAAAGATTCATTTGTATGTGTTTTAATACCAAATGTACTCGTACTCCATTGCATTCACCTAAAATATAGCAAGTTTTCACAAAGAAAGATTAATTGATCATCGAAAATTACTTTTACATATAAAATTTAATGTATTTTTATACGACCACAAAAAAAATTTGCGGTCATATATTGGTATGACGTTGGCGTCGTCGTCTGGCTTCGTCGTCGTCCGAAGACACATTGGTTTTCGCACTCTAACTTTAGTTTAAGTGAATGGATCTGTATAAAATTTTACCATAAGGTTCAATACCACAAAAGGAAGGTTGGGATTGATTTTGGGGGTTATGGTACCAACAGTTCAGGAATTAGGGGCCAAAAATAAGCATTTTTGTAACTTCCAGACATTACTTGTGTGTTAGTGTATGGATCTCTCTGACATTGTACCACAAGGTTCCATATCACAAAGGGAATGCTGGGATTGATTTTGGGGGTAATTGCCTCAAAATTTTAGGAATTAGGGGCCAAAAAAGGGGCAAAAAACAAGCAGTTTTCTAGTTTCATGACAATAACTTGTGTGTAAGTGTATGGATCTTTCTGAAATTGTACTACAAGGTTCCATATCACAAAGGGAAAGCTGGAATTGAGTTTGGGGGTAATTGCCCAAAACGTTTAGGAATAAGGGGCCAAAAATAAGCATTTTTTTCTAGTTTCCAGACAGTAACTTGTGTTCAAGTGTATGGATCTCTCTGATATTGTACTGCAAGGTACCATACCACAAAGGGAAGGCTGGGATTGATTTTGGGGGTAATTGGCTCAAAATTTTAGGAATTAGGGGCCAAAAAAGGGGCTAAAAACAAGCATTTTTCTAGTTTCAGGACAATAACTTGTGTGTAAGTGTATGGATCTTTATGAAATTGTACTACAAGGTTCCATATCACAAAGGGAAAGCTGGGTTTGAGTTTGGGGGTAATTGCCCTAAACGTTTAGGAATTTGGGGCCAAAAAGGGGCCTAAAAACAAGCATTTTTCTAGTTTCCAGACAATAACTTGTGTTCAAGTGTATGGATCTCTCTGAAATTGTACTGCAAGGTACCATACCACAAAGGGAAGGCTGGGATTGAGTTTGGGGGTGATGAATCATAAGGGGGTTCATAAAATTAGGTGGGAGGGATTTTTTTTTCCTTTTTTTTTCTTTAAAATTTTCCATTTTAAATTGGTTATTTCTGATTTATATATAAAAGCAAATAATAATGATATGGTTTGAATAGGTAAATTAAAAAATTTTAAGTTCTTAGACCACATTCATTCTGTGTCAGAAACCTATGCTGTGTCTAATATTTAATCACAATCCAAATTCAGTGCTGTATCAAGCTTGAATGTTGTGTCCATACTTGCCCCAACTGTTCAGGGTTCGACCTCTGCGGTCGTATCAAGCTGCGCCCAGCGGAGCATTTTATTTACTTCTGTTTGGTAAATTGTATCTTTAAAGATTATGTTCCGGTAATATTTCTATAGTTAGCAAGTAGAAATCATTGAAATTTATAACAGTTATAGAATATTGTTCATTCAGCCTAACACATAAAAGGTCTCCTTAACTTTCCATCGGTTGCCGCTAAAAATGATGATTTTCAAATAATATGTATAAATATATTTGTCAAATCCATGAGTAAATACGTTAACCTTAGACACAAAAACCATTGTTTTGTGTATTTTAATTACATTGTATATTCAAGATAAAATGAAAAAAGCTTTTCATTTTTAATTGTGTATTATATGTGTATTGGTCGGTTTCATTCTCTATTGTGTTTTCTCGTTTGTTTTCTTGTTTTTTTTTTTTTTTTGTGCAGATAAATGAAGGATGATTACAATATTTATAATTTTGTATTAAATAAATTTTAGTCCTGGATAAATAAAAAAGGGGAATGGAAATGGGGAATGTGTCAAAGAGACAACAACCCGACCAAAGAGCAGAAAACAGCCCAAGGCCACCAATGGGTCTTCAACACAGCGAGAATATCCCGCACCCAGAGCATGCAGAGGCGGGCTTCAGCTGGCCCCTAAACAAAAATATGTACTAGTTCAGTAAAAATGGACATCACACTAAACTTCGAAACATATAAATGAACTAAAATAAAAAAAACCTAAACATTAATTCAATCAAATGAATTCAATTAATCCATGGCTCCATGCCGTATGAAATTAAGCGGTTTAATTTGTTTATTATGTATACATGTATGTATATTGTATAACCATTACAACTGTATATAATGCTTATATTTATAATCTCAGTCAACGACTTTCAAATGTCCAGGGGATGTTCACACCACGAACTGCTTGTAATAAATGACAGGTTATATCCGCGACGGATTGATAATATAAAACAAATCTGTGTGCCATGTGCAGAATATCGTCCCTCCTCTGGATCATCTCTGTAGTTAAAGGGAGATAAATCAATCACAACCTGACCAGGGAAAAATAAAAGTAAAATATGTGAAGTTTAATTGTTGGTCACACTTTTCACAATAATGAAAATATGTCAATAATTACTGAATTTACAGGATTTTGCAGCCTTTATAATTTTTTTTCAGAGGAATCTGCCATGGGAGAACCTGCTTGGGAGGGGGCAGGACAATCTGTTGGTCTGAAGATCTGGAGAGTTGTGGTAAGTTGACATTGTTGTCAATATAGATATAACATGATTGATTGATTGTTGATTAGTTAGCATCCAGTGTACTGGCAGAGATGAATGAATGACTGTTTTAACATCCAGGGGCTAATATATATGACATATGTATTCAGGATGACAACATGTGAATGTGCTGAATTTTTCGTTTTCATTCTCTAACTTCAGGCCACACCAATTTGATTCCTAGTTCTTCGGATTTTCCGGCTCCTGTTATGGCGAAATTGACTTTTCAATTAAAAAAAAAATTTTTTGGTCCGCATGCTGCTCCAAAATTAGTTTTTCCTTGAAATTTTTTTTCTATTGCATATATATTGCTCCGATCGATTCAAACTCATGTGTGATAAATTGATTTGTAAATAAAAGGTAAAAAATCAGGATGCCAACATGTAGTTGTGTCAGCTCATTCAATGCTGTGGACAAGTTGTTATTGAACACACAGTTATCCAAAATGCATCTCGTTTACCTTTGAAGACCTGTTCTAGGTGGCAAAAATTAAAAAAAAATTTCATTAGATGACCACAATCACATCAATATATGTTAGAACTATCGTCATCCCTGATCCTTGTTTAAACAGGCATAGAGGTTGCACTTTGTAAATACAGCTGTTTCACAAGCCACGCCTCTTTTGGAGAGATATATAATATTCATAGATATGTTAATTTGTTAACGTACTGGTTCCCAGATATGATCTCTGTGTTTCATCTCATAGAGACATAACTTGGGAATGTCACCAGTATAGAAAAACATGGTAGCGCCTAAAATTAATTCTTAGGAGGACACTCAGGTCCAAAGTGGAGGTAGGGGTAGTATAGAATTTTAGTATAAGTTTAAACTCTTAGAAGTTCAGGGCATATAAATGTTGAAAATATGCCGCACAGCCCTATATTTTGACCTCTGAATAAAATAGTAGTGCATGTCAACTTTCCCTTCTGGGATATAATTTTTCACGAAACTTCATAGTAAAAGTGGCTGTTTTAGCCGCAAAGGGAGTTCCTATGGGAAATTGCATTGTCTATATTTACAGAATTGCAACCTATATAGGGTGAAAAAAGAGAACATATAGAATTTCACCAAATTTGGTTTATCTCAGAGATTTAAATGAAATTAACTCATATACAAAGTTTTATGAATATTTCATGAAGATTGAGAAAATCCTGGGCCTTAACTACATGTATAATGACTCAGCATAAATTCACAGTTTACAGTATGCATAGTTTACTTAAAGTCCTGAATTCAAAATGAATTCTTAATGTATGCATATTTGTATTTGAATTGTTTAGAAGTGCTTAAATTTACTCTTCGCATTTATTGAAACTCATAGATCCTTCCTGAATATTGTTTTTGGGGTGTTTTTGTTCTTTGATAACCCAAAAGTAAGCCGTAATACCTGAATGTGCCTTTTTGTGACCGCGGCATAAAAAAATACAAGCTAGAAATACAAAAATACCTCATTAAAACTAACAATAGTGTGTTCTATCCTAAATATGTACTGAATATTCCATATTCACAGAAAAGGCAGAATAATTTAGCAAATGTGAGGCCCCAGTGGCAAAAAAAAACAGAATATTGCCTACACCCTGGGTCACAAAACAGATAATTTAACCTGTAAATGCTATGATTTTATTATTTTAAAGGTGTTTTGTATAGAAACCAATAACTGTGCTTTGAAATTATGCAAAAAACAGATGTTAGCAGTCAGTTCTATAAAACTTTTAGTGAAGTCATACATTAGACTGGTAACTTCATCATTGATTGTTCATACATACAACTTTTGAAAATATGGCTTTGTTTAAACAACACTTCTAGTTCATATATTAGCTAAATTATGTTAGATATATGGTTAGAGATGATATTGTTGTGACAACATTTCTACACTGACCATTTGAGGTAGAAATTGTTAACTTTAACTAAGAATTGAATGCTTCTTTTTGTAAATTCATTGGGGTGTAAAAGTGTTGACCGAAGTACATTTTGTATGAAGCGCAGAAGCGCTTCATTCTAAAAATGTGCGCACGGTCAACGCTTTTACAACCCTATGAAATTACAAAAAGAAGCATTCAATACTTATAATTACATTTTATAGCTAGGATCATGAAAACACGATTTCTATCAAGTTTTTCTTTAATTTACCTGTGCACTTTATTGTGGGACCTCGTGTCATCATGAATGTTACATTTCATTGTGTAATGAATGTTAATTTCAGAAGGACGCGAGATTGCTGTTAGCCAATCAAAATAATGTATCATAGTGAAACATACATTGAATGTAATTATTTGACAAATAGGCATACAGTAAGATGTGGACTGGAGACAAAGGCAGGATTGGATACTTTACATAATCTTGAATGTTGGAATGATTAACTACTAAACTTTACATTTATAGTATTCTGAAATGCTTTTAATTTGTTATAAGAATAGTTCCAAACAGGTTCTACATGTTCTAGACATTTCATGTCAGAAAACATGCACATAGGGTAAGCTGACAATAATTAAAGTCTTGTTTTCAAATTCTTTAAAAAATTGAAACAGGGGTACGGTGGGGGTATAAAATGTACTGTAAATGAAAAGTTAGAGAATATGCAGTGATTTCTTTAAGGCTTTAATTCTGATAAATAAGTATTGTTGTGACTTGTACTTAAAGTGGCACAGTTTTAGCCGCAAAGGGAGTTCCTATGGGAAATTGCATTGTCTATATTTTCAGAATTGCAACCTAGACCTATCTATCCTCAGGGTTTGACACTAACTAAATGTATGTACTAGCCTGCAGGGCTAGTGAAATTATTATTCTACTAGTCCTCTTGTCAATTCACTAGCCCTCCAAGTGCCAAAAGCACTTGGATGGTTGTGCCACTGGCACGACCCTATCTAGGATGGTTTGGGGGCATGCCCCCCAGAAAATTTTGATACAAATGAAGCTAAATCCTGTGTTCTGGAGCATTTCCAGAGGGTTTTGAACATGTTTTGTTTCATGAAATTTCACTGGTTTGCTAATAAAAAATACCAAAAAAAAATAAATTTCATATTTTTGGCCATGGCGTTGTCAGTTTGTTTTTCGATCTATGAGTTTGACTGTCCCTCTGGTATCTTTCGTCCCTCTTTTTTAATCATCTAGTATATTAAGAATGTGTTCGACTTATTTTGAAGACCCCTTTAGATCATTACTTCATCATCATCCTCATTTTACTTATCATTATTACTAGAGTCTTTATAATGAAGATGGATAAGTAATGGATTTAAAAATACAGCCACAAAAGAGGAACGGTTTGCCCTTGCTGTTTTTTGTCATAATTCTTCATGGATTCCTTCTTTTCCCTTGTTGTTTGTCAGTTTATTTTTTTTTGCAGGACAAGATTTTATTCCTAAAAATCTGCATATTTTTACTAGAGACCAAGGATTTGTATAGTATACAAATCCTTGCAGAGACCTTTAATTTTGTATAAACAGTGATGGTATTGGTAGTAATGTATGTAAATTTCGTATTCATGTTATTATTTTGATATTATGAAAGCACTTTTGAGATCCAGGTTTCTGATTAGAATCATCATGGCGTTTGTAACACACGTGGTTTTCAATGTATTAAGCACCATCATTGTTTCCGTTTCTTTCCCCTTTTCCCTTCCCAGAAAGTTCCTTTCATGTTAAAAATGTCTGTCAATCAAAATATACGTGAATAAACTGTACAATAAAGACGGCTAAGGTCAGCAAAAAATCTGGGACAATTAAAATTTTGTGAAATTACTAGTTTTAAACAAAATTTTGACTAGCCTGTCGGACTACTGTGATGAAAGCTTTACTAGCCCTCCCTAATTTTTACTAGCCTCTGGCTAGCGGACTAGCGTTAGTGTCGAACCCTGATCCTGGATGAAATTAATTGTAAATTCCTATACGGTAAACTTTTTAAAAAATCACAGAATTATCTTATTTTGATGAAACCCCATACCCCCTTGTTAGTCTATTGGCATGCAAGCAGAATTCTTTTTGTAAGGGGAAATTTAAGAGTTCCAACCTATGAGACCAAGGTGGTGGTATTGTGATTGGCATGCTCATAATAATAAGGGATGTGTAATTGGTTCAACCACTTTTAGTCAAGCTAAAGAGTTTTAAATGCATTGCAGCTTTTAATAGGAGCAAAAGGAAAGAGTATTTTTCTCAGTCAGAATAATGCATGTGAATGTGGTGACAGGTATTTTAAGGAAATATTTTAATACATTGAGATCTACATGCATAGCAATATAACTATCTTACTCAGGATGTTGTTTTAGGACAAAGCAAGAAATATTCCCCTCACTCATTATGTTGATCCTAAATATGGATAAATAGTTCCAACTGGATGTCAATCAGCCAATAAACAATCATTACCATATTATAAAAACAACTATATCAAAAAATATTTAATATCTTTCGGGGCATTTTTTTGGTTACATATACATATTTTAATTTTATTCAACATATGTCATTTACCTAACATAATTGCTCGTGTAAAACAGCATCAGCTATGCTTCTTTATATATATATACATGTATGGATTTAAATGAAAATTCACGCAGACAAAGCTTATTTGCTGAAAATAATCAAAATTAACTACCGGTAGACCACATTGAGACAAGAAAGTCTGGCATGGAACAGGCACCAATAAATCAAATTATATGCATTAGAGCATGTTTCTCCTTGTTTTTCTATGAAGTAACCCAGTTATAACATGTACATAAATTCTAAATTGCACAATTAAAAAAATATATACCGCTCGCTTCACTAGTAGAGCACTCATATTTTTTGGAGCTTTTGTCCGCAGGACTACAAATCAAATTGGTGTGGCCTAAGTGTTTCTTAACCAAATGTTATAAATCTTATACACAATGCTCATAACCACAAAACACAGATCAAGTTTGAATTTAGGTGGCATCACTTTTACCATTCTAGAGTTATGCCCCTTTACAAATGGAAAAATTGCTGAATTTTTCGTTTCCGTTCTCTAACTTATGTTTGACTCAACCAAATGTTATGAAACTTATACTCAATGCTTATTACCACAAAACTAAAATCAAGTTAGAATTTTGGTAGCGCCGCTTTTACCTTTCTAGATTTATGTCCCTTTATATCCTTAAATGCAAGGGGCATCTGTGTCCCATGGACACATTCCCAATTTATTAAAATTTGTTTTCTGCTGCTGACATGGTGGTAAAAATCATTAAATCAGTAATTAAATGCTACAACTTAACCAAAATAGGTATCAAGGTGTCACAATATTGTGTTCAAGGATTGACAAGTGCTGCAATTGTATAAAGTCTAGAGAATTGTATTACGTTAACATAGATGACAAAATATATTCACATTAAAACAATAAACAAACAAAAAAGGAACAGCAGCAAACACTGGCTGATTCCAAGCTTGAGGCCAGCACATTCATTTTTAAATTGCATGAGCTTTTGAGTGCTATTGATATTCTTAATCCAGGATTGATATTGCATGTTACTTTTATGGATACATTCTTCAAAGAATATAATTTAAGACATGAATTTCAAAGAATATAATTTAAGACATGAATTCTTCTTTTTTATGCCCCCGCCATAGCGGTAGGGGCATTAAGTTTTACCCTTGTCCGTCTGTACGTACGTACGTCCCAAAATTGGTTTCCGTTCTCTAACTTGAGTTTGCCTCAACTAAATATTATGAAACTTATACACAATGCTTATTACCACATAAACAGATCAAGTTTGAATTTTGGTGGCATCACTTTAACCGTTCTAGAGTTATGCCCCTTTATAAATGGAAAAATTGCAAAAATTTTCGTTTCTTCTAAATATCAAGTATTTTTTTAAATTTGGAGTTATCTTCCTTTGTCCATGATTAAAGTTGAATCAACTACAATCAATGCTTTATACAATGCAATGTTTAATTTTGACTTCCACTGATAAAACACAGATCAAGTTGAATTTGGGTAGTGTCACTTTAACCATTATTGAGTTATGCCCCTTTATAAATCGAAAGATTGCAAAATTTTTAGTTTCCATTCTGTAACTTAAGTTTGCCCCAACTAAACATTATGAAACCTATACACAATATTCATTACCACAAAACTAAGATCAAGTACAAATTTTTTGTTTTCATTTTCTAACTTTAGTTTGCCTCAACCAAATGTTATGAAACTTATACACAATGCTAATTACTACATAATACAGATTAAGTACGAAATTTGGTGGCGACACTTTTACTATTCTTGAGTTATGTCCCTTTATAAACATAAAAATTGCTAAATTTTTCGTTTCCGTTCTCTACTTAAGTTAGCCTCAACCAAATGTTATGAGACTTACACACAATGCTTATTACCACAAAACTCAGATCAAGTTCAAATTTGGGTAGCGTTACTTTTACCGTTCTTCAGTTATGTCCCTTTATAACTATATGATATGCAAGCGGGGGCATCATCTGTGTCCACATGTGGACACTATCCACATTTATTAGTTGAATGGGGTGTAAAAGCGTTGACCGAAGCACATTTTGTAGGAAGTGTTGAAGTTTGAAGTAATTTAAGCAGGTTTTAACATTTGAATAGAAAGTACCTGGTATATATGTGTACTAATTTTGAAAATATTAATTTAAAAATTAATGTTTGACTTTCAGAAATTCCAAATCACAGACTGGCAAGAAGAAGACTATGGAAAATTCTTTGATGGTGACTCTTACATCATTCTAAATGTGAGTTACTATTACTTTTTGAATGTATCTCGTCTTGTATTATATGCTTCAAATATTTTGAAGGAGTTTATAAGGTTCCATAGAATTGAAACCATGTATGAATGATTGAGGTAATGGAATACATTCTTGTAAAAATTTGTACTAAATAATCGTTTCACCAATTTTGTGTTCTTTTTTGTGGCCTGCAACAAATGTTGCAGAATGTGAGACATACATGACATAGGGCTGCTAATCCAGTGACAACATAAACTATTTGTATAAAGCTTTATATTTGAATAGGTAGAAGACCTGCATGCTTCATATCTTGTATACAGATGCCTTATGTTATGAATTTTCTGCCTGCCACAGTTCATCTAACCTTGACCACATTTTTATGGTTCATTATGTCTAGTGTCTAGTGTTCATTGATAGGTCTGTTTCTCAGATACTATAAGCAATTGGTCAATTATATTTGGTGTATGGAATGCTTGTAAGGTGTACATGTCCATCTGCCAGGGTTCATCTGTCCTTGAACTCATTTTCATGGTTCATTGGTCAATGTTATGTTTTTGTGTAAATAAAATTGAGAATGGAAATGGGGAATATGTCAAAGAGACAACAACCCGACCAAAGAGCAGAAAACAGCCGAAGGCCACCAATGGGTCTTCAACACAGCGAGAAAATCCCGCACCCAGAGGCGGGCTTCAGCTGGCCCCTAAAATAAAAATGTGTACTAGTTCAGTGAAAATGGACATCATACTAAATTCCAAAACATATAAATGAACTAAAATTAAAAAAACATACAAGACTAACAAAAGCCAGAGTCTCCTGACTTGGGACAGGCTCAAAAATGCGGCGGGTTTAAACATGTTTTGTGAGATCTCAACCCTCCCCCTATACCTCTAGCCAATGTAGAATAAACAAACACACAGCAGTACGCACAGTAAAACTCAGTTTAAAAGAAGTCCGAGTCAGATGTCAGAAAAGGTAACAAAAGAAACTAAGCAAAATGACAATGATACATAAATTAACAATGGACTACTAGCAGTTACTGACATGCCAGCTACAGACTTCAAGGAAACTAATTGAAAGATTATGTCTTCATATATGAAAATCAAGCACAATCCCTCCTGTTAGGGGTCTAGTATCATACCATCATAAAATATATGCAAAGAACATAAGTCGTATCATGCCAACAACTGGTTTTAGAACAAATGTGTTTATTTCTGATGCAAAAACCCTATGAGTGAATCAATATTAATACCAAAATATGCCATCTGCAATGATCTGACAACAGTATCGTAACTATATCCCCTCTGAATAAGTCTGTTTAAAGGTTTGGTTAGCTTTGAGGTGAATGCCGACATTTTTGTGCTTTGTAAAGAATATTACCATAAAAGATTGGATGTGAAATACCTGAACGTATAAGATGTCTGCATGTTGATTTATATTTACGAATAATGTCCTTGTACCGATGATAAAATTTAGTATATGTTTTGACTAGTTTGTGATATCGAAAACCCTGGTGTAATAATTTTTCAGTAATATAGAGATTTCTTTCGTTAAAATCAAATACGTTGTTACATACACGAGCAAATCGAACAAGTTGAGATATATAAACACCATAAGATGATGACAAGGGAACGTCACCATCTGAAAATGGATAATTAACAATATGTATGTTTCTCAGATGCTATAAGCAATAAATTAACTATTTGGTGTATGGAATGATTATAAGGTTATAGTGCCACTTGATCAAATCTTTGCAATTTGAGCACAGTGTGATGGATCATAAAATACAGGTCAAGTTCTATTTTGATGGTTTCAACATTTACTGATCAAGAGTTATGCCCCTTGGTTACATTATTTAAAAAAAAAAAATTACTTAAAAATTATAATGCAAGTAACAATTGATAAAGTCTTTCAGATTTTAATGCAATTGGTGTGAAACATAAAATACATGTCACGTTTCAATTTGAAGTTTGATTTTTCATTTGCTGTTAAAAGAGTTTTTGCAAATGGGGTTATTTTCCGATGAGCGTCTAGCTTTTGGATCTTAAAAAATATCTGATTCTCAAATTCTTTTATTGGGGGGTATATAGGAACCACTCAGTCTGTCCGTCTATCCATCTTTTCTTCAACAATTTAAACCAAAACTTGTACAAATATAGATTATGATGTGTCAACTTTGCAGCATGGATTTTTCCTCCATTATGTATGCCTGGAATTATGCCCTTGAACTTACAAAACTTTGATTCTATTCAGTTAACTTTGTAGATGTAACCTACTTCTCCTACATTCTGTAACAGATGCTCTTGAAACCTTGTACATTGTACATTCCTAACATGAAGATGTGCACTACATATCATAATCAATATGGCAAACTGTTGTGCTGACAAAAACCAAATTTAAAAAAAATCTACAGAATTTATTATACTGAATTCAGGCTTGTATAGTCCGTGGTTTTATTCTCCAAAATTGAACCTGAAGACAGGGTGCAGATTATAGAGTAGAATAGGAAATAAATAGGAGAAAAATTCGGTTTCGCGAGTTTTGTTTACGTTCTGCCATGTTTGTTATTGAAATTGTAGAGGGCGCTCTTATCATTTTCAAAACTAATAATTTACCTAATCCATATTAATATGCAACTTTTATTCAATATCAAATATAAACTGATAAATTTCAAAAGTAAATGCTCCACTAAAAACTTCTTGTTTCTTTTCACTGCATTGCATATAAATGAACTGGAATCCCCTTGAATTTAACGGAACGAAAAAAGTGTATAAGTCAGCCGGGAACCAGCTTATGCATAACAATGTATAAACTTCAAAACGTAATTGGTTATTCGTTGTATTTTGGTGTTTCATACTGACGCATGTGTTTTGTTTTAGTTTAAGATCCTTCAAACATTAATGTGATAGATATGTTAAACATTATTATACTTAAGGATGGAACTGTTTTACTTTCACAGTCAGATTTTCCGTACACTATCACGGTATTAATTTTCATTTACACATGCTATTCGAACTTCCGCTTTAAACATACCGTTAAAAGGCTTGTATAGTCCGCGGTTTTATTCTCCAAAATTGACCCTGACAGCAGGGGTGCGGACTATAGAGTACAATAAGCAAGAAATAAGAGAGAAAATTTCAATTTCGCGATGTGGTTTGTTTACGTTCCGCCATGTTTGTTATTTACATTGTAGAGGGCGCTCTTATCATTTTTCAAACCAACAATTTTACCCAATCCATATTAATAAGTTATTTTTATTCAATATCAAATTAATACTGATAAATTTAAAAATTAAATGCTTCATAACAAAATTCTCGTTTCTTTTCAATGCATTGCTAAATATAAACTGGTATCTGCTTGCATGAAATCTTATAAAAAAAGACAACCGTAAACCAGCTTACGATGTGTAAACTACAAAACGTAATCGGTTATTATTCGTTCCGTTTTGGTGTTTCCTATTGACAAATATGTTTTGTATTAGCTTAAGACCCTTCAAACATTAATGTGATAGATATATGTTTTACATAAGGAGGGAACTGTTTTACTTTCAAAGTCGTATTATGTACGGATTTCGACTCTGACCGGGTTTTTTCATCTTTTACACATGCTTTTCAAACTTCCGGTTTGAACATACACAAGTTTCTAAATTGTTTTTTGTGTGATTTAGACTTATTTTAACCAGCGTGAAGTGTTTCAGAACCATTTACAAGCAGTTTCAGCTTCTGTTTGGTGATGGAAAATAGGTTTTTCCAAGAAAATACTGCAAACGACCATTCACGGTTTAAAATTACCGGAGTTTCATTAGACCTTTTCTAACAGTTACAAAAAGTTTTTTTACCTGAAATTTCGTTGGGAGAAGGGGGTGCGAACTATACAAGCCTGATTACGGTACACAAGTTTCTCATTTGCTTTTTTTTGTGATTTTGACTTATTTTTAAACTTGTGAAGTGTTGTAAAATCATTTACCAGCATTTTCAACTTCTATTTGATAATGGAAAACGGGTTTTTCCATGAAAATACTGCAAACTATCACACACAATTTGAAATTACTGGAGTTTCATTAGACATTTCGAACAGTTTTTTACCTGAATCCTCGTGTTGAGAAAGGGGGGTGCGGATAATGTACCAGTGCGAACTATACAAGGCCTATTACGGTTAAGCAAAATTGAATGCTATATAACTATATCTCATTTAGTTTATCAAAAGTTTGTCATTATTTTTTTTTAATTTACTATTTCAATTCCCATTTTCCTTTAGACATACAAGAAGAATGAAGATTCTGAGGAACTGTGTTATGACCTCCACTTCTGGATAGGCAAACATAGTACACAGGTATAATATTTGTTTTAGTAACAGGTGGGGAAAAAAATAAAACTTCACCAGTTCCATGCAGAAGCTAACATGCTATATAATATATAATTCATAAAAAAAACCACGAACAAACAAAATAAGCAAATTAACATTGCAAAATCATAATGGCAAAGAATAACAACAGAAAAAGAGAAATGAATGAATCACCATCATATTGTCCAATTACATTGGATGAGGAGCGTAAACATATATTATTACATTGGATGAGGAGCGTAAACATATATTATTACATTGGATGAGGAGCGTAAACATATATTATTACATTGGATGAGGAGCGTAAACATATATTATTACATTGGATGAGGAGCGTAAACATATATTAACAGAGTGTGTCAAATCCTTGTGAGGGAAGTGAGTACACAGGATTTGTATTTCAATCAAATTGATGTTTGTATAACTGAATAATCATTTCTTTTTGAGACCACTTCTATCTCAGCCAGACCACTGAAGGATTATTCTATTGAATTTAGTCCCTTCTTTTAAAACTCAGGAAGTTTTACCAGATTCAAGAAGGAACAAGCTTTTTGAATTCATAACACCTGATTTGGGGTATAAATCATTTGAGACAGCAATCCAAAAGGTATCTAGTTGTTAACATAATATCTTCAAACAACAATGACAAGTGTCAAACTCTAATACAAAATTTCAGTCCTGGTATCAATGATGAGTTTATTCACACAGTCCAGAAAAGTTGTGAATACATTTAACAGACAGTTTAAAGATTTGTAATGAACGCTAAATTCCTTACAAGGATTGTCAACGTTAATGATTATGAATATGTGTCAATATCAAAATATCCTTTTTAGATCTTATTTCTTTGCATTTGTCTTTTGAATTCATGTAGGATGAATATGGAACAGCAGCATATAAAACTGTTGAGTTGGACACTTTCTTAGATGATGCAGCTGTTCAGCATAGAGAAGTTATGGGACACGAATCTACTCTGTTTAAATCATACTTTAAATCAATCACGTAAGTCATTGATTGAACTTGTTTTCCAGATGATGAATGAAATAAATTGAAATAAATAGAAAGTTCTTAAAGATAGCACCTTTGAACTAGAGGCTATAAAAAGCCTGTCACTCACCTAGGTCTATGTGCATCTTCATTAATGGACACTCTAACATTGTATACTAGAATTGAATTCATGACAAAAATCTCTGTTTTGTTTATCTTTTATTGCTTAATCATTTTTTTATGTTTACATTTTCTTTTTATCTTCTTTAATTTTCAAGATACGGTCAAAACTGCCATAACAGTCACATCATTTAGGTGGTCACCTGCCTCTAACTGTCACTTTCAGACCCTCCCAAACGTTTTCTCTATATAATTTAACTCGTTTCAGCGGTCACCTAATTTTCGAACGAAATCTTAATTTCAACTTTGAACAACGGTCATTTTAATGTTTAATGTCGATACTTCCCAAGAGAGACTGCTTAATACAGGTTTGATTGTAATACTCAAAATCACTAAAAATTAGTAAAAATTGTCATTAAAGAGTAATAACTCCAATTAGGAATCAACTGACGATTTTGGCCATTAGACTTATTTGGAGATCTTGTCTTGCTGATCATTTTTGCTAGTAAAAGTTTCTATCTATCTATTATAGTTTTTAAGATGTAAGCAAAAACGCAAAAAAAATTGTAAAAATCATCCTTAAAGAGCAATTATATTGTTCTTGTGATATAACCTTTGATAATGTGTAAAATAGTGGTAATTTTAGGTAACAAAGATTGAGTTGCCATATAAACCAAAGCCGCTTACAGAGTATTGTTCCTGTACAGTTTGTGATGCATTCACTGTCAAAACCATGCTATAGTGTTTTTTTACGCCCATTTATTACAGTATTATGGTATTCTGTTGTCCATCGTCAACATGTTGGACAATAACTCAAAAACACTTTAACCAATTTGCATGAAACTTTGATGAATTGTTTGACGTAAGCTCCCTTTCGATTTTTATAAATTTTAGATTTTACGTTTCCTAGATATGGGGTTATATTCATTGAAAAAGGGGGATTTTTCAGTTTTTGGACATCCGTGTTCCATGAACATATTTTTTTTTTATTAATTCATTGCAGTATTATAAGCTTTGTGTATTGACAAATCAGTTGTCTCTTTTGAATGTTAAATTCCTTTAAAATTTAGATTTTTGTCTTCCGTTAACAGTAAACTTTCATTTAATCAAAAGAGCAAACCCAAAACTTCAAAATCTACTAAACTCCTTAATACTGTAAATTCAGAAATTATTGCGAGATTTTTATTATTGCGAATAATGGGACTGGGTGAGTATCCCAATAATAAGAACTCGCATTCTAATAGATTATACATATATCTGTATGCAGATTTTCCTGAAATCGCAATAATTAATCTCAAATTTTTGTCCTTTCTTTAAAAATCGAAATAATAAATGCACGCATTAATTTCTGAATTTACAGTAGTTTGAATGGACCTTTAAAAATTGGATTTATATCAGTTGTTTTGGAAGGGATACCCTTCCTCAGCCCTGAAAGATGCTGTAGGATATCATAAATTGGTAAACTGTGTTACATTTGTAGATGAATCAGTTTCTGAATTTCGGATTTGATTTTTTTGATCTATCTGAAAGTGAATGTAACATCTTGTAATTTCAGAACTATGCAAGGAGGAGCTGAAACAGGCTTTAAACATGTTTTACCAGAGGAATATAGACCAAGGCTTTTACACTTCAGTGGAAAGAGAAGAATTGAAGTTAAAGAGGTTAACTTATTGATCTATCTATATGAATGGCTTGATTCAGTTGTTATTGGTTTCTCTTACACTCATTCTAACATATTCAAATTTTATCAACTAGGAAGAAGTCAAAGGTTTATAAAATTGATATCTGCATTTAGCCCGAAAAATAACATTGAAATCACAGGATTTGTTGTAATTATTAGTACTTGATATGAATACCAGGGGTAATAAATATAGACTTTATTTGATAAAATTCAGTTATTGTGGATTGGAAAAACTGGTACAAGAAATTTATTACATATAACATTATGGAAGTAAGTACCCGTCATAACTAAAGAAGCACAATGTTTACACCTATTTTTGCTTAATGAAGAATTGAACAAAAAAAGATTAGAAATATTTTTGATTAACTAGATCAAAAACCTTTGTTGATTATTCATTTTACATTTTTCAGTAGTTAGAAACTTTCAATAAAAAAATTCTTAAATTCATCTTGTTATTGCTGTAAAGCGAAACAAGAATGAATAAGTCAAGATCATGGTATGAACAAATTTACATAAATCTGCAGATCAGGAAGTGAACAAAAATGATTCCATTATTTCAAGAAAATTAGAAACATGTGCTATACTGATAGCCTTTAAAATGACATTTCCATATTGTTCTTTATTTAGAAATAATTACCTATATTGCCATGGATTGAAAAACAGTTTGCTGTTAAAAACAATAAAACTGCTGTGGATTCATATATTTTTGTGGGTACCAATTTTAATGTATTGTAGAAAAATTGTGTTTTCATTGATACTTGATTTCGTGGTTTTACCAAAAATTCTAAATACAAAATTTGTATTGTGGTGATTGAAGAAATTCATGGTTAACCTTATAAACACGAAAATTATTACTCCATCAATAATAATCCACAATATAACAATACATTTGTTTTATCCACCATTTTCTACATAAGGAAATTCCTGTACCAAGTCAGTAATATGACAGTTGTTTTCCATTCATTTGATGTGTTTGAGCTTTTGATTTCCCATTTGATACGGGACTTTCCGTTTCGAATTTTTCCTTGGAGTATTTTTGTTATTTTACTTTTTTTTATCACTCCACACATCCATAATTAGGAATGACTTCTGATCTATATTTATTACCAAATTATAGAGTGTTTTTTTTTGTTGACAAGATGAATGTTATCCCAAAAGTCTACTGGAGGAAGAAGACGTACACTCGTGGGGATTTTGTTTGGCTGTTAAAGACATATACATAAAATTGACATGTAGTATGACTTTGGAAACTTTTTTTTTTTTTCAGAGCATGGGTTTTAACTGCATCCTTTCAAAGTCAAGTATAAGGACCAATTCATAGTGAAAACTGTTTTATAGTCATGCTGAATTCTCAGAATTATCCAATAAATTCACTAATTATAAATCCTTAGAGATCTTTAGGATACATTAAGCCTGAAATCAAATTAGAAAAAAACAATTCCTTCCAAGTTGCATGACATTCTAACCCATCTATCCATGATCTATCCTTTCCTATTTCAACAGGTACCCTATAAACGATCAAGTCTTAACTCGGGTGATGTATATGTGCTCGATTTGGGCATGCAGATCTACCAATGGAATGGTGCTGAATCAAGTGGTATGGAGAGAATAAAGGTAATATTTATCCTTTTGACATTTTTCATAAAATATTGCCTTGTATTGACAGGTTCCATATGTACAGTCAAGTCTTAACCCTGGTGATGTGTATATATTAGATTTGGGTATGCAGATTTACCAGTGGAATGGTTCAGAATCTAGTGGTATTGAGCGACACAAGGTATCATGGTCTCACAGCTACTTTTATATTCATTTTATTTCTTGCTTTCAGGTATAGAGCTTTATTTGTGCTTAATATACTGATCAAAAATAAAAATGCAGCCAATAAGTGTCATAAATGTTGAAGCTATTTGATGATAAAATTAATCAAAATTAATATGAATGAATGCTTGCTCCATGTTTTATGAAAAAAATCAATTATAATTGTTGGAAAATATTAATTTATTTCCTTCTTTAAATATTAATAACAGCATTATACAGCATGAAGCAGAGTTTGCAACTGTCATGTTTTTATATGATTTAAACTGAGTTTGTCTAGGTCAGTATTTTGCTTTTTCTGTTTAAATTTATTTGATATTTCAACATAAAATTTTCCAGACCAGATTATGTATTTCTTTTATGGTCAGTATATGAAATTTTGCTTACAGTAGTCAAGAGGGCCAGCAATAAATGTATTTATTTGCAATATATACCATATATGTGCATGAAGAAAAGTTTTAAAGGGCTATGCCATACAAGTTGAATGTTAGGGTTGGAAGACACACTTTATGAATTATACAGGGTTGGTTTGTGTGGATACAAATGCTTTTTATTATCTATCCAAATTGCATTTTTGTTGATTCTTTGACAAATTTTCCTTCCAACCCTGACTCTGTACATTTTTCTGGACTAGCCCTTAATATGTATACATAGAATTAGGTCACAGTGAAACTAAAATGCCAATCACCATGTTTCAAGATTTTCAAATTGTATCTAGTACCCAGTTCACACTATGCCTTTTTAAAACGGATTCGAACCGAAGAAGTTAATCCGCCTTAACTCGAGGCGAACCCGGATTAAAATTACCCCTCATTTGAGGTTGAGTTAATGTGGGGCGAACCCGGGTTAACTACCTCACTTCTAAATGTGAACGCAAAGTGAAGTTAATGTGAGGTTGTTGCTATAGTGACATATATGACGTTTGCTTAAATAAGTCTTCAATGTGACGTAACTATTACGTGACATCATATATCGAATGACATCATATTTTGACAGACGTCCAGTTACCGTATTTACTGGATCACGAATTATATAACCCATATTAAATTAGCGGCAGCAAGAGGGATATAAGTGTATTAATCTATGTTGAAAAACCTGCATAATGACAAACAATGAAACCTATATCATTTCCGCTGCTTTTTTGGGCGAAAAATGGGTGCAATTTGGATAAAGGGACGTTATTTAAAAACACGGAAAGTGGTTGATGGTGATCAAACTCCTCCAAAGCGGCCAGGAGTGCGGTAAAAAATTTCAGACTTTAAATAATGCATCTGTGATGAAAAAAAAAGTAAATATGTACAGTGGACAGATGCGGGTTACAATTTTGGCGCTAACATTTCTTTTTTTGTTGAGAGGGAAAATCCCAAACCGGGTTAATTTTTTATCAAGTGTGAACTGGGGTAATTAATTCAGGTTAATTAACCCGGGTTCGACCCAGTGCAGATTTTATAGTGTGAACACGGTATTAGTGTATGAAGATTTTTGTTTTTTCAGTATGATTTTATAATATAAAAAGTTTTAGTTTAAATATGTAGTGTCTTTGGCTTTAGAGTTTTATACTGTTTACACGTAAATGTAGCTTATAGTTTAATGTGGATTTGGATTTGGAATTTATTTTTAACTGTTAAAAAGCTGATTGTTTATCTATAGAAACATGCCAGTTTGAAATTTACAAGACAAATATAATCTAGATATTGTTTATAAAACAGTCTATTTTTCTAAACAAGTTGTATCCAGTAAAAGCAAAAGCAATTTCATTTTCTTGGCATTTTTATGTTTTTATACGACCGCAAAAAAATTTTTGTGGTCATATATTGGTATGACGTTGGCGTCGTCGTCGTCATCTGGCGTCGTCCGAAGACACATTGGTTTTCGCACTCTAGCTTTAGTTTAAGTTAATGGATCTCTATGAAATTTTACCACAAGGTTCAATACCACAAAAGGAAGGTTGGGATTGATTTTGGGGGTTATGGTACCAACAGTAAAGGAATTAGGGGCCAAAAATAAGCATTTTTGTAACTTCCAGACATAACTTGTGTGTTAGTGTATGGATCTCTCTGACATTGTACCACAAGGTTCCATATCACAAAAGGAATGCTGGGATTGATTTTGGGGGTAATTGCCTCAATATTTTAGGAATTAGGGGCAAAAAAGGGGCAAAAAACAAGCATTTTTCTAGTTTCAGGACAATAACTTGTGTGTAAGTGTATGGATCGTTCTGAAATTGTACTACAAGGTTCCATATCACAAAGGGAAAGCTGGGTTTGAGTTTGGGGGTAATTGCCCTAAACGTTTAGGAATTTGGGGCCAAAAAGGGGCCAAAAAACACATTTTTCTAGTTTCCAGACAATAACTTGTGTTCAAGTGTATGGATCTCTCTGAAATTGTACTGCAAGGTACCATACCACAAAGGGAAGGCTGGGATTGAGTTTGGGGGTGATGAATCATAAGGGGGTTCAAAAAATTTGGGGGGGGGGGATTTTTTTCTTTTAAAATTTTCCATTTTAAGTTGGTTATTTCTGATTTATATTTAAAAGCAAATAATAATATATGGTAGGAGATACACACTTAACAGGATGTGTAAATTATTATATGATAAGTATTGTGCAATAGCAAGAAATTTTTAAATTGCACAGTATTGCACAATAGCAAGAAATCTTCAATTGCACAGTATTGCGCAATAGCAAGAAATCTTCGATTGCACAGTATTGTGCAATAGCAAGAAATATCCAATAGCACAATATTGCGCAATAGCAAGAAATTGTCAATTGTACAGTATTGCGCAATAGCAAGAAATATTTAATTGCACAGTATTGTGCAAAAGAAGATACTTCGTATTAATTGCTTATTTCTTGACCAATTTCAATGGGGTTTTATTCTTGAATTCTTGGGGTTCTTTAATATGCTGAATCTAACCGTGTATTTAGTTTTTGGATTTTGGGCCCCGTTTTTAAATTGGTCCACATTGAGGTCCAAAGGGTCCGAAAATTAAACTTTGTTTGATTTCATCAAAAATTGAATTATTGGGGTTCTTTGATATGCGGAATCTAACCGTGTATTCAGATTCTTAATTTTTGGTTCCGTTTTCAAATTGGTCTACATTAAGGTCCAAAGGGTCCAAAATTAAACTTAGTTTGATTTTAAGAAAAATTGAATTCTTAGGGTTCTTTGATATGCTGAATCTAAACATGTATTTAGATTTTTGATTTTTGATTCAGTTTTCAAGTTGGTCCAAATCGGGGTCCAAAATTAAACATTGTTTGATTTCAACAAAAATTGAATATATGGGGTTCTTTGATATGCTGAATCTAACCATGTATTTAGATTTTTGATTTTTGGGCCCCGTTATCAACTTTGTCCACATTGAGGTCAAAAGGGTCCAAAATTAAACTTTGTTTGATTTCATCAAAAATTGAATTCTTGGGGTTCTTTGATATGCTGAATCTAACCATGTATTTAGATTTTGGATATTGGACCATAATAGGTGAATGTCCAATTTAAAATTTTTAGGTTCTTAGTCCACATTCATTCTGTGTCAGAAACCTATGCTGTGTCAAATATTTAATCACAATCCAAATGCAAAGCTGTATCAAGCTTGAATGTTGTGTCCATACTTGCCCCAACTGTTCAGGGTTCGACCTCTGCGGTCGTATTGAGCTGCGCCCTGCAGAGCATTTTATTCTTATTTACAGAATTTTTAGCTCACCGTTCTGAAGGAACGGTGAGCTTTAGCCATCACTTGGCATCCGTCGTCGTCATCGTCCGTCTGGTGTAAACTATTTCAAACATCTTCTCCTCTGAAACTACTGAACCAATTCCAACCAAACTTAAGCTGAATGATCCTTAGGGTATCTAGAATAAAGTTTGTGTTTTATTTTCTGTTTTGTCAAAAAACATGGCCACCATGGCTAAACATAGGGGTAAAATGCAGTTTTTGGCTTATATCTAAAAAAGCAAAGGAGTTAGAACAAATCTGACATATAGTAAAAGTGTTCATTAGGTGAAGTTCTATCAGCCCTGAAATTTTCAGATGAATCTAATAACCCATTGATGGGTTGCTGCCACTATATTGGTAATTTTAAGGAAATTTTGCTGTATTTGGTTATTATCTTGAATAGTATTATTGATAAGGATAAACTGTAAACAGCAAAAATGTTCAGCAAAGTAAGATCTACAAATAAGTTCATATGACCAAAATTGTCAATTGACCCTTTAAGGAGTATTGCCCTTTGAGGACAATTTTACACAATTTGTTTGTCATGTTTTCTAACTTTAAAAAATCTTCTCCTCTGAAACTATTGAACCAATTCCAACCAAACTTCAGCTGAATGATCCTTAGGGTATCTAGAATAAAGATGTGTTTTATTTTCTGTTTCGTCAAAAAACATGGCCGCCATGGCTAAAATTAGAACATAGGGGTAAAATGCAGTTTTTGGCTAATATATCTCAAAACACTTTTTAGCTCACCTGGCCCAAAGGGCCAAGTGAGCTTTTCTCATCACTTGGCGTCCGTTGACCGTCGTTCGTTAACTTTTACAAAAATCTTCTCCTCTGAAACTTCGGCGTCAAATTTAACCAAACTTAATCACAATCATCATTGGGGTATCTAGTTTAAAAAATGTGTCAGGTGACCCGGCCAACCAACCAAGATGGCCACCATGGCTAAAAATAGAACATAGGGGTAAAATGTAGATTTTGGCTTATATCTCTAAAACCAAAGCATTTAGAGTAAATCTGACATGGGGTAAAACTGATTATCAGGTCAAGATCTATCTGCCCTGAAATTTTCAGACAAATCTGACAACCTGTTGTTGGGTTGCTGCCCCTGAATTTGTAATTTTAAGGAAATTTTGCAGTTTTTGGTAATTATCTTGAATATTGTTAAAGATAGAGATAAACTGTAAACAGCAATAATGTTCAGCAAAGTAAGATCTACAAATAAGTTGTATGACCAAAATTGTC